TTGGTAACAAGGAAACCAATGCGTCCCAACATGCCCGGCCCGAAATTGTCCATACCTTTACGAGAAAATTCGAGGAAATTCTTTTCCGTATGCGAAATTCTACGATAGCTAGTAACTTGTGCTGAACTTCTAACAAAAACCCATTCACTGAGGCAATTATTTTTCGATTTATGACCAAAGAATTACGCAACAAAAATGAAGATATTGCTACTAAATTATAAATTATCATTATTATTGTTATGATTACTATCAATAACATCCTTAAACGTAAGAACACCGAATCGATAATAATTATTATATCTTGAATAAAAATTTTTTACGTAAAGGCTTTTTCGATTGGTAGTGGTCCTCTGCTAAAGCCTGACGTTGCGCAGCCGCGTAGCGTGAAAGCGCGCCACGTCTACTATAGCGGACTTCGGCGTTCTGCCAAATTCCACTTGGGAGATGGCCAGAAATAATTGAGAAAATAAGGTTAAAGAACGCGCAAAACAAGGGAAAACTCGATAATACTGGTTGATAAATGGTGAATCGCCACAGCCCACGAAATGAAAAGGCCTGTACGCTGATTCCTTCTGCAATTACACAAAATATGTACTTATTCAACGGCAGTGTTTTTAATATTAATTTTGATCTTTCAAAATTATAACAAATGAAAAAACAAATAAAAATTCAAATAATCAATTGAATAACCTTTAATACTGATTTCCATATCGAGCCACGCCATCGAAATTGTAATCTTAGAAATGAGACTATTGATGTCTGAGAGACGTCAAGGTTGTAGGTAACCGTCATCTGCAAAAGTATTTATTTCATGTTTTTCAAAAGCAAATGGCGTTTAGGTACAAGATCCAAGTAAATGTGGTAGTATGTCAATAATTCGAAGGGTTTACGAAGGAGAAGAGTAAATACCCCTAGCTAGCTAAGCAAAGACGATGGGTAGGCGAAGAAAGAGAGGTGTGATGGAAATTGATTGTTCGGAGTTCCTTGTTTCAAAGAGTATTTCGTCTTAGTAGTCTAAAAACTTAAGTGTTACACACTTCCTCAAGAATTTGCCTAATGGTAAGCGAGTGTTGTGTCTGCACCGACATATTAATGATGTTTTTCTTATGTCTTCTTTCCTCAAGAGGCCCCTTATTAGAATGCGTCAGTCGCGCACATTCGATTAATAAAATTTGACTTTTCTATTTTCTTTTCTATTAATTAGCCAATGATGATTTTGATATTTTCAGCACAAACAAGCGCAGCTCATTGGAAATGGTAAAAAGTTTAGCTTTGTAAATGTCACATTAAAGACAGCGAAGAAACTAATTTGCATAAATAGAATTTTTTAATGGCGCAAAAGTACAAAGATGCCTAGGCCACTAGGTTTCTAATAGACCTAATACAAAGCTCAAAGGGAAACTTTATGACGGTGAAAGATACAATATTTACCATGTGCCACATTACCCGATTCCACAGTTCCACGCTAAATTTCGATACCATGTAAACTACACCTACTGCACTTAGCAACAGAGTGCTGCTTTTGTTCTTGTTCTTCAAGCGAACGTGGGGAACAGGATGGTGAG